TTTCCCTGGAAGGTCTGCCCAAGAAGCCAGAATGCACAGGCACGTAAGCAGAGCAGAGAAAGGAGAGCTCAGACCAAAGGACTACGTCGTTCTTAAGACCAGCCCTCAACACTAACAAAAAATGAAAGACTTGGTAAGGACCTGAAGTAGATTGCACATTTTGCTGCTACCTCAGAAGTCAACAAATGCTCAGGCTTCAAGAAAGCCCATAAAGGACCTGCCCTGAAAGGATGCAATAGGGAGAGGAAGTTCAGTGTATGAGTTATGAGTTATGAGTTTATTATTTCTATTCAATCTCACTTCCAGGTTTTGCTAGATTAAGAAGCTGACTATTCTAATTCAATTTTAAATAATATCTTACTCTTTAGTTTAAAAGCCCTCTTGAAGTCATTTTCGTGTAAGGAAAGGTCTAGGCATACATGACCTGCATCAACAACAATAAACATGAAAAGCTTTGGTGGGCACTGAAACACAAGTCTTAACACAGCTCATGTCTGATCCATTACAGCTATAATTAAGATGCAGTTTTTGCTCAGTGTGATTTCAGTTTCGGGGCAGAGATTAGGCAGAAAGAGAGGTATTCATTTAGCAAATTCTCCATAAAAGCCTCTTGTTTTCATTAGCCAAGATATTTATTCCTTTAGCTATAAATTCTTCTTGGTGCTAGCCCTGTCACCTCACGTTTTTTAATATGCACTGCATGTTAAACTGAAAAAATACCAACCTCTGCCCATCAAGCAATAGCCAGTGGGGTTTCATTGTCTATCAACTGTATAGAGACCTTAAATTCTGCCACTACAGCTTGCTTTTACATTTTACATAATTATACCTTTATGAAATTACAATTGTTTATGCCATATTTTCACTATTATTGGAAAACTGCAAATTTAAGTTAGCCAGCTCACAGCCATCCTTCCTGCTTCTGGCACTTGCCATTTCTAGTTTCCATAACATTAGTTGTTCAGTATTATCAGTGTTATCGTTCTGCATTTCACTTCAAATAAAAGACACGTTTAACGCACTGCAAATACAAGTAACTTTATTGAAAACAAATATCAGATAGAGGTGACTAGAAAAAGCTATTTAAATAGCAATTGCTGAAGGTAGTAGAGTGTTATGCACTAGGCTACACAAAAAAACTCCTGGTGTGATGGGGTTACAAAACACAGTGAGAAACAAAAAATAAAGAAATCAGTAATTTCGTAACAGCTATCAAGATACCCATTGTAAGAACTATAATAATAGTGCTTTTCATGAAGGCACGTCTCAAGTCAAACAATTCCCAAATTTGTACCTTCCCTTTCCTCAAAACCTGATAATATACATAGTTTGCATTGCAAATTGAGATGCCTATGGATTTCAAAGCATTTTTAAATGGTATGAAAACTAAGGGAGTTGGGGTGGGTTTTTTGTTTGGGTTTGGGTTTGGTTTTTTAATATTATTGTGCAGGTAGGATCAGCCAGTGATTGGCACATCGGATTTAATATCCCCAAATGCTTCTAATCAGAAACTCAACAAACACACACTAAAATGGCATTTTCAATTTCCTACCCATTTTCATAAAGTTTCATTTACACTTCTGAATTGAAAAAAAAACGAAAAAAAAAATTAAAAAGAGCCCTGAAAACCTGAAAGGCAGACTGATTTCAGCTTCTATACAGCACTCATCACTGCGTTCAAATAGGACTTATTAAAAAGATCACTTTACTAAAAGGTTTTCTTCTTGATTTCCAAACCAGCAACAGAAACCGGAATTACTTTTCCACTATGAACCATTACATTTCATGAGATGTCATTACCAATCAATTATTTTCTTTACAATTTAACTCTCATTCATGATAATAGTGAGAACTACATTCATATACATAAAGAGAATAAACCATTAGGCTTAAATGCAGATTTTGAATTTCTTGTGGGTTTTGCCACCTCAGAGGAACTCCAAAACCCCCAAAGCTTTAATCACGAAAGCTTTTGAGAATCTGCTTTTTGTTTTCTAATGGGGATGTGAGGAGAAGAGGTGGGGACAAATTTATAAACTATTATTAAATTGTGTGGTTTCCTTGAAATTACTTCTCCCTTATTATGCAAGTATAGATGGGAAATACACAGCCCCATGTAATCCATTTCAACAAAACTCAGGTAAAGATAAACCAGAAACTGATAATAAACTAGAGTACTCCACATCAACTAATCAAATCTATTAAATGTGAACTTACAGACATAAGTCTTTAAAATAAACTTAACTGAACTACAAGCAAGAAGATATCCAACTCCTCTCCTCCTTTTTGACTATTTACTTATTCCTAGTCCTTTAAGTCCTTGCTCCAATGTTACCTTTACCCCATCCCAGGATCCACATAAGTCCCATAAAAAATAAACACCTTAAACTGATTTTAAAAGGAACACATAATAATGAGTTATTCCCACACAGACTCAAAGCATCTTTTTCTAAATGGAAACATTTTATTACAGAAACCAAATTCCAAGTTCAGATAAGAAATTAAAACTTCTTTATTAACTCTAATTGAAAAGCGCTTCAGGAATAGAGACCCAGATTCCAAGAAGAACAAAAATACTGGAATAGCAACATTTGAAAATTGAAGTCAGAAAATACTGTGAGGCTCACACACGTTAGGTTTCTGGTCCTTTGACTAACAGTCTTCTCCAGTTCTGTCACCTACAGTCTCTTCACCTCATTCTAAGTGACATTCTTCCTACTAGCTGTATCATCATTCTAAATCTCTGCAGCATCAAAAATTAAAATGTGCAAACACTATCATCCACAATAACAGTCTTGCACACAACGCCACCCTTTGAAACCTGTCTTTGATCCATCCTCTGATTTCTTTCTCTTCTTTACAGCTCTTGCATCTTGCCTTAAAAAAGGGGAAGTGACTTGCTCACCTGAGACCATCACCTTCCCCCTTGCTAGAAGCGAGTCAGCTCTGGGAGCAACACAAGGCTCCTTTTGGCATTGCATTCAAACAATTTCACATGTTCAATGATCCCAACAAAACGAACTGAAACTGCATTCCAGACTCAGACTTTACTGAATAATATTTGCTATTGAAGTTCTATTGACATACCAGATTTAACTTAGCAAGAAGTTACCTAGACACAGTATTTCCTCTTTATTTTCATTACTCTCAAGCAATAATAAGATAAGTGTTTTATTCTGGGAGCTCCTACTAGTCCTGAAGTTGAATGTCAGCATTTTCACTAAACCAGCCTATTTTCAGATTAATTATAATTCAGCTATTAAAAAAAAATCCTTTCAACTGTAACTGCTTGTAAAAACTACTGCACTAATATCTTTTTTACATTAATATACTCTCCACACTTCCAAATAAACTCTTCATTTCTAAGTTAATCATTCAGCCAAAAAGGGATTGTAACTATCCTGTAACTCTAATTCTTTCCAGCATCTTATTATATGATGCTTCCTTCAACATATGAAATATTTAACAAAAATAAACATTTCAAATGTTAGAGAACCTTGACCATATTTTCTTCAATTATCAATACCAGTTTACTCTAACATTTCTAACCGCACATTTCCAAGCACAAATACAGGCTGGGCAGAAAATGGCTCGAGAGCAGTCCCGAGGAGAAGGACTTGAGGGTGTCAGACAATGAAAGACTCGATACGAGCCGACAATGGGCTGCATCAAAAGAAGTGTGGCCAGCAGGGCAAGGGAAGTGATTCTGCTCCTCTACTCTGCTCTCATGAGACCCCACCTGGACTACTGCATCCAGATCTGAGGACATGCAGCTGTTGGAGCAGGTCCAGAGGAGGCCACAAAGATGATCAGAGGGCTGGAGCACCTCCCCTACGAGAACCAGCTGAGACAGTTGGGGCTTTTCAACCTGGAGAAGAGAAGGCTCCTGGGGAACCTTATTGTGGCCTTCCAGTTCCTGAAGGGGTCCTACAGGAAAGCTGGGGAGGGACTTTTTACAAGGGTATGTAGTGATAGAACAAGGACGAATGGTTTTAACCTGGAAGAGGGGAGATTTAGACTGGATATTAGGAAGAAATTCTTCACCTACTGTAAAAATAAATACACTGCCTAGCAGTCATTCTTGAAGAAGTGGTTTGAAGTGGTTTGTACTTTGCAGTCTTCCTTTAAAGGAAGATAACAAGAATATACATTGATTCTTACACCAGACAGGCTAACCAGCTTCTAATTTCTCCTTCACTAAAACACATAGGGGGAAAATCCCAACATCATTCGGGGGTATTTTCACCCAAATTAAGAACTGCAAAAACACTGTACATCTGAACCACAGTCGTATTCGTTTGAAATAAAGATGATCTTCATCGAAACTTTAAGAACAGTTTAATCATGCAATGGAAAGAAGTAAAAAAACCCACCCCAAAAAGAGCCACCACTATGTTAAACACAAATACATCTGTAGAATAATTTAAGAGACTACTGCTGATACAGGTCAACTATCTCTTTCCGCTTATAAGTATTTGAGCATTCTTGTTTCTGTAGCTATTTTTAAATGAAATAATATTCACCTCCAATTTAATTTATTGGTTAATTTCTAGCTACAACACTGACACTGATGCTATTCATTTCTTTAATAGTTTCTTTCTTGTGGGTCTTGTTTCCCTTCCTGTCCCTTTATTTTTCTTTACTCTTTGATTCATCCCTAGAAATGTCCAGATAAAACACAACTGTGTAGAAAGCAAGCAGAAAGCAGTATTTTTTATACAACTTTCTTTCAAAAAACTGTAACAGGCTATTTTCTCAAACCGACTTATCCAACACATGTGGAGGAGTCGTTCTGTTAAACAAATAATTGCAAGAGCAGAAAAACAAATGAAAGCTAGTGCTGCATTTAACTTCTCATATCATCTAATGAACTATCAAAAGATGTTCTATGTGGCTCTATAATGATACCAACAGAACATGCTTAGAAATACATTTGAATGTCTAACTAGAACCATTAGAAAGGAGAAGACATTGAAGGATTAAAACAAACAATTGAAAGAGGATGATTCAACACATCCATACTACTTATGGCCTATATACTCTACAAAGAAAAGTCCATGTAGGATTCAATTACCCAACAATATAGACCAATTTGATTAACAAATTTATCATTAATTGATGTATTTACTATGGTAGCAAAATAATTTAGATAGTGTACTCAACATAAAAAACTTACAAAGAAGCCAAATCAAATAAGCAACACAAGCCAGTCATGCTACAAATTCACAGAAGAATTTCCCAAGTGGAAGAATCTAGGATAATAACTTCCAGATCTCGAGTGATTTTGACAAATACACAGAACCATGGGAACTATGCTCTGGATTACTTCAAAAACACATTATTAACAAAATACATAAAAAGCAAAAGACGAAAAAACCTCAAAGGCAGAAGACCAAAGAAAAAACTGACAGATTCAATGCAGGAGATAAAGAAGATGCCTTTCCTTTTACTACTCCTATTTACACTGCTATTCTAAGTCTATACTTATATGTCATCATTTTTTGGAATTTTTTAAGCTACTTCTGAAGTCAAAATAGCACGTGTTAGCAAATTATTTATTAACCGATGCTGTGATATTGAAGTCATTCATTAAAAAAATTCTTTAGATATCATTCTTACCTCAGTTACTTTAGGCTGAAGTCTTAAAACTTCAGGACTCATGCGTGGGATATCTATATGGATCTAATTAGACAGAAAGAAAAATACTGTAAAAGAAACCAACAGCACAGGTTTTAACCAACACAATAGTTAAAACAATTCTATGGTTTTATAGTATTAGTTATAATACCATTGTATCATTGTACTGTTTTTGGAAAAACATGGATATACTGTACTTCAAAACATACAGCCAAATCTTTAATTCACTGTTAATCTATCACTGAGGCAAAATCAAAATAAAAAAACACGTATACTTTGTTTTCACATTTTAGGATCCTTATATCACATTTTGATTGATTAAAATTATAGTCATATTAGCAATACTCGTTACCTCATGGTAATTATGAATACACACTACTACTTCTGTAAAGTCACATTCAATTGGCAGTACCACATATACTTCTTGCTACTTAAGATCAGGCTGGAAGCTGAAAGATCTCAGCTTCTTCTGTCCTAAGGAAGGCCAAAGTAGTATTGCTTAGTCTATACTTCGTGACACAAACTATTTATTTAAATACAAAACTTGACGAAAAGTTATCTGCTTATCTGGGTGGGCAAAAAAGTTTGACACGCCTCTGTTTACTGCTCGTCATACACAGTTTCAACTTCTTAAGTAGAGGCATGGAGTCAGTAAAAAACAGTCAGTGTGACACCTTCCCTGTCCATCCTCACTCATTTGAAGAAGGGTTTGAGCAGGAAATGAAAGATTTGAAAACCTTACTATTCTTAAACAGAAGACCATGGCACCACTGACAGGCAGTACCACACAGCATGACTAAAGCTGACATTAAATGGAATTCACTATTTTGAATTTCAGACCAAAATAGTTCATATTTTTGCTTCTGAAATTTAGGAGAACAACTGATCAGAGAGCTATCAACCAAGATTGAAGAAATAAAGAAAAACAGTAGCAAACTTAAAAAAATAATCTCTTTAAGTTCTTTATCAGATGTCCTGAAGGTAAAAGTCACTTCAATAGTTGTTCTACCTGTCTGTAGGTATCTTGGTGATTCTCATCATTTCTGGAATCATAGTATTGTTCAACAAATGCAAAATACTCTTTGCGTTTTCTTTGTAAAGTGCTTTCTCTTCGGTCCACATTCGCAGGAAGATAGCCCTGAAAAAAAAAAACAAACAAACAAAAAAAATGAAATGAAAAGGATATTACTCTGCCTTACAAAACACACCGCTGGCATTTTATTACAGTGACAGGAAAGCTAATAAACTGGTGTAGTCTCATGCAGTCCTAGACGGATTTGAATAAACCTTTATTAAATCACTTCTCTAATAATTCCCACTGATACAAAAGTTACCTCACTAAAATTAGCTTTTTTTTTTTAAAGATTCAAGTTTTTCCAGCCTTAAAAAGCAGTTTCTCATCAAGAATTCTAAGATGCTGTTTGCCTTTCTAAGAGAAAAGCCCAAATAACTAAATACAGAAAGATGTAACACTATATGAATTTATTTACGATTTCTGCATTCCTATGCGGCCATTTTTGGAACAATTTTTTTTTTTTTTTAAACAAAATGCATATTATCTCAGTTGCCTTCAAATAGGAATTATATACATTCGCAAATACATTTAAATTATGATTAAATTTGTAATACAACAGAGTATTAATTCAAAAGCTTTAAAAACATTCTAGCTACCTTCATTGTTTCAGACTAGAAAAAAAAATATTTTCAAGCTTTCACATCATCTCAACAGGTTATCAGGAGTCTCACTGCAGAAAATCACATCTGTGATTCTGTGAAAAGACTCAACAGCACCAGTGACTGGGCTCTCAGATGTCAGAACAGTGGCTGTACATCTCCTTAGCTGTTTCCCAACAGCATTTTTTAAATATAGTCGTATTTTGCATACGGTACGGAGACATGAAGGAAGTCACGTGTCAGACAGGCAGGGTTATATATTCTGTACTTAATGCAACAATGTATCTGACTGGTTCTTCGTTCATCTCATTCATATATATCTGAAAATCCCAATCTTCCCTCCCCAGAAAATTCATTCTCATTTTCTTCTTTTTTCCAGTCTGTTCCCTGCTTCTGGCACCTCAGCCTACTCAAAAAACGAGCAGCTCAGGTTACTACTTCAGCATTTTATGAAAGGAAATATCATGTATGTTACTAAACTTCAGTTTACATATAAAGTACACTTATCTGAAACACCATTATTCACGTAACTGGCTACCAAGAAGTTTCCTGAATATTCAGAAATAGATAATGCTTTCTTGTAAGTAGCTTGATTTCAAACAGTCAATACAAATATCCCATAACACAAAAAAGAAAGCTGCTTCATAGTTGACATACATGGATGGTAGTCCAGAAAAGGTACTTTGTATAAGAATCATTCTAAAGACCAATGGAAGAGATCTGCACATCCAAGACAATGCAAGAAAAATCTAATCATCATATTATTCACTAGTCAAGTCAAATTAAAATATTTCCTGCCAATATGACAAAAGGTCTCTGTAAAACAGAGAAATGAAATTTATGTCAAATTAAAGTTTCCTTAAAAACAAGCCTCATAACATCAAAAAAACCCTGTACTAGAAGTGCTGCGTGTATTTGCCACAGCCGCTGCAAGTAACTAATAAAATGCTGTGCATTTAACTACAAAAAACAACTCTTATTCAGTCCTAAACACTACAAGCAAAAAAGGCAGAGGTAAACCTAACATGCTACAATTCCTAACTATAAAAAAATTAAGCACTAAGAATAAGTATATAGGTTCCATTACTCTCCTGCAACAATTCAACATCATACCCTATTTCTGTAACTTCTTTTTAGCTCTACATTTAGGGAAAAATAAAAAATACACACCATACTAAAACATCAGTAGAGTTTCTGAAAATATCTCTATATTAAAACCATTTAAAATGCTATTGCCGTATATTTTAATTTCTTAGTTTAAGATGACAATAGAATAAGTACAAACCACGTTACATTCCAGATACATTAAGAAGTACTTGCTTTGCCAAAACCGCATGTTTTAAGATGCATTGACTTGTGTTTGGTTCCAGGTACTTGAAATCGCATGAGCTTAACTTTTGCCTCAAGACTCATTTAATATCCTGTCCTAGTGTTTTGTATTAAGTTAAAAATTGAATGCTGCCTCCCGTTTATTCTCAACTGTTGTTTTTTTTTGTAGGATCTCTTAGTTTCATTAGAAAATAATTAATTTGTGAGATCAAATGTGATTGTTTGAAGGATACCAATATTTCCTCAGCACGTCTTTTTGCCATTATTCAGTTTCAAAGACTGAAGTAATCTTTCAATTGGACATGTCTTGTTTCCTGTTCACTTTACAAATTAGGTTTTATTTTTAAAAGTTGGGAAGGCTTGAAACATATCATCAGGGAATAAATTGGTGGAGAGTTTAATCCATTTATTCATTCATTTCCTCCAAAGGCTTTTGCAACCATAACTTTAGTTTTGTTATTCAAAAGAGAAGTGAGCCTGAATAGTTCTGCTTGCTGTTTAGGTACAGTATACCTAACGTTTTGCTGTATCTTTAAAAGAAATAATGTAATTTTTTTACATACAGTTACCAGCAGATATGCATAACATTAACAGCCCCTGAGCATTATACTGATTTTCATACACTTGTCCTTTGAAAATCTGTATCACACACATGTTAACATTATTAATCTTCTGACTATGTAGTATCTCAACTGTTGAATTTTTTAAATTGCATCTTAAAAATTCCAATTTCAATGCTGATTTTACAAACCAGACAATCATTTTCTGCCTCAGACATTACAGTTCTACTCAGTTCCCTGCATAAGTCATAGTTTGGACTTTTTAAATAAGACTTCTGAATAATTCCAAACCAAACACATCCAGCCTTAATTTAGCTCTTAACTACACTTTGGTTTCTTTGGTTTTCTGCTCCTCTTTTGGTTTCACAACTACCAAAACAGTTTTGCTTTTGTTCACTTATCTCCCCAATAGGTCCCAGTGCATGTTATAGGACATTACCCACTCCTACCTGGGATGTACATTAGGCGTAGGTAACACGTTCAAACAACTAATGTGACTCAGAAATTAATAATCATTAGAAAAAAGCATCATGGAGTTTGTGACCACAAATACTCAACACACTTTTTCTTCCCCACCTCAGAAAGACGACAAAACAAGCTCCAGCCTTACAGTATAGAAAAGCAATGATTACTGAATGACTCATTTCTGGGTTTCCAGAATGCATTAATTGAGGACCACTTAGTAGATAAGCAATCGTAGTAAGAATTACATAAGAAAAGCTGGGAACTTTCAAAATATTGCTATCTGGTGACAGAAAAAAAAAAAACAAAAAACAAACCACAATCCCACCCTTTCAGAAGCCTCTTACTCAAATTTAAAAAAAAATCCACTTAACTCTTCAAGTAAAAACAAAATAACCTGAATGCAGTTTCTTTGCAGAGGTACAGCAAGGCAGCCAAAGAATTAAACTGGAATTGATCTTGAACTGGGATAGTGCAAACAACAGAACAAGGGAACTGTGCACTTAAGAATTTCTCTGGACTGGGAATCTCAGGGATATTAAAATTACAATCAACTTACAGAATGAAGTTGAAGCCCATGCTCTTACTTGAAAGTAAGAAAGTGACTGCAGTTACCTTTTATGTAATTCCACTTCTCTAAATCTCAGCACCAGTCCTCTGAATCAGAACTTTACCTCCCCTTATGCTTTAGCTTACTGTGTTTCAAAGTCAATTCTGAGTCAGCCATATTTTTTTTTACTTTGAGGGTTTTAGAACTGGCATCCTAAACTTCAAGAGGAAAAAAAAAAAAAATCAAACAAATCAGAAATGCTCTTTTCATTACCAAAATCTCAGACAATGATTCTGGAAACAGAACTGAAATAAATTGTACACTGCATGTTTAATTTCAATTACAGAGGACATTTGAATATCCATCATTAAGAAGATGCATCTGGATTTAGCATTAGAACAAACTAAGCTGCAAATCTGGTAGAACTCATCAGCAAGAGAGACTCTTTCAGTCACTGGAAATCAGTCTCAATCTGAAGTAAATACTCCATATTCCCTGCTGAATTATTCTATAAAAAGTAAAGCTATTTAAGTCTACTCTCTGAAAAATTCAATAGTGTTAAACTGTTGTGTGCATAACTCAGAATTTTAAACAGTTCTTAAATGCACGAAGATTTGCTGATAAAGTGTCTTTCATAGCCTCTGGAGAGTAGATACCATGAGATTTCTGCTTTGTTTTAATACAAACATCTTCACAAGTTCTTCTCTAAACCACAGGCAGACAAACAACAGCTAAAATGCACAACCATTTGACATTACAAGTATTGCAGCTGAAAAGATTGACATGAAAAATAATCCTGCGAGGAATACACTGTATTTTTGCAGAAGCAGCTTTCTAAATCTAGTGCAAACACAGAGATAAAAAAAAAAATCCAGTTCTGTAACACCAAACTCAGTGAATCTGAGACTCCCGCAAGCTTTTTTCTGATGCCAACTGAAACATCTCCCCGTGCTGTTCCATGGTGTTTCACTTAACCTCCTCCCAAGCTGCTGCTGCCACTTCCAAATCCTCTGACTATGGGGCAAAGTTCAGAGAGCTCAGCCAGCCAAAAGCTCACCCTACAAAAAGGTGATTAGCTTTTTAATTAGCTCATCTCCCTGAACTGACTCTCAGACCTGACACCAGGAGAGCCAGTGCCACAAGGTAATTGATTTTTTTGATTTGTTCATCTCAAATCACTATAGAAATATCAGCCAGAAAAAACCGTAAGAGCCTATCACAGCCTTTCCTCAGTACAGTGTTAATCCTTTCTTGTAGTTACTTTAACGTGAAGCCAGAATGAAGCTTTTTGTAGGACACTGATAGGCTTCACTTCCTCTACTGTGTGACTATTTTCAAGAAAACTGTAAGAGTGCACTTGTCTTTGAACTCTCCACCGTTCCATCAACACTGGTTGAAAGAGACCGCTGTTATCACATAAGCCTTTCTTTCATTGAAAGCCAGGCTGAAAAATAAAGATATACAGCTAACATGATTTACTACTACTTCTCATTCCCCTCTTTTCAGTTTGACAAATTAATCTTGAAATCGAGCAAAAGAACAAAAGTTCCATTACAATTCAGCAACAAGACACCATGTTTTCAAGTATCGCTGATCGATTACAACTCAAGCAAAATTATTTGCAGTGCTTGAAAAAACTATTTCTACTAAGAGAAAACAACAAAAAAAAGAAAGAAGAAAAACTAAAACAAAACCAAAACCAACTTACTGAAAGAAGCTTCCATGCAATTGGACGAACCCGTTTGGGAATGCCAGACCAACTCAATTTCCGTAACTCTTCTATTAAAAGAGAAGTATTTCATGAGAACTAAAGAAACTATTATCAATTAATAAACACACATATATTCAAAGCAGCAGAAAGTTGTTTACAATAATGATCACATCTTCTTATAAAGTCCAGTGAAATCAGAGTATGGCAGTTCTAACAAATTAATAAAGTCCTGGATAACTATCCATAGGGATACCTACGATAACAGGTACTGAGTGTGATAAGGCAACTTTCTGGAGTATTTCTTAGCATTACTATTTAGTATACATGCCTTATATTAACATGCAAGAGATACTCGGTCTTATCGTATCCTTACACAGATCCTAATTAAAAATGAGATTTGCAGTTACAGAAACAGAATGATACTTTATGCCTGAATGCTGGAATGTAATCCCATGCCTTATTCTCACTTCATGTTGTGCTCCTTTCTCTTGAAAGCTGCTTGTTAGATATTATACCCAGTTAAACCAATCTGTGGGACTTCACACGTTTTTTTAAAAAATTGTTTATCACGTGGAGAAAATTACAGGAAAGTCATGGAAAATGTAAAGACAAAAGATGCTTAACCGTGTCTGTAAGAAACAATGTTTTTATGAGATATCTACTTGTAGCTCTTTTTCTTCTTACTCTGAGTAGAAAATAGGGGTTAAAGGTGCACACGTTCAAATTATTAACCAGCTAAAAAATACAGAACAACAAAATTCTACATTTTGGTTTGTATATACTTACTCCAATTAATTATATATATTTGAATTACCTATATATATATATATATATTCCAGCTAATGTGGTCTCTATTCCAAACAGACAGGCTTACCAACAATTGTTCAAGTAAGGAAAATGTTACAGTATTGGATATATGCATTCAACAGCCGGCTCAGCCAAGACAACAGTGGCTGCACAGAGACCTCATTCTGAACAGTGAGGCTACATCACCAAAATCCAAGCAAAACAGTGACCAAAAGCTGCATTGGCATCAAAACGGGCCAGAAACTCAGAAAAGCAGAGAAAAAGAGCAGATACTGAAAAACAAGACGTTAAAAGTCCATCTTATCAAAGTCAATGTATCTATCACAAGTCTTGAATCCAGTCTAAAGAAAAAGGATGACTTTCTAACATCAATGAAACTGCCTTTCCTCTATGAGCTCTAAAATAGTACTGTATTTGATAAAAATGAGTTTCATTAACAGAAGCTTTTCTTTCCTACAGCATTTCAAACCCTTGAAAAAGATAACATACACTGACACACAATAAACATTGAAAACCAAAAACATCTTAGATGTTTTTGACTTAAAGTCATAGTGTGTTCTGTAGTTTTGTTTTTAAATTAACTCATTTGTACCTTTCCTACAGAAGAAGAAACACAAAGATGTCAAGATGATACCTCGTTAAAGCAAGAGTATGTAAATAAGTCAAGATTACTTTCTATCAGTATAAACTACCTTTAGACATGTATTACTGTGTGAGTGTACCAAAACAGCAGAATTCCTAACCATTTAGGGATATTATTTTGAGCATGACAAAAGATAAACTCAGTCACATACCTCAGGCAATCTAAAGACTAGAATACCAAATAGTAAAGGTAAAAGTATAACAACACACCAAATATCAACTGGCTTATTTGACTTCCAGCAAACAAAAGATTCCCCATCCTTTCCTTGTACTTGTAGCCTATCCATGTCTATGACAATAGTAAGATTAAATATACAGAGTTAATAACATAACTACATGCACTGTAACTGATTACATTTTATTTTCCTTCTTCTATCCAGCCTATCCCTACCCAACATCATTTACAGAAAATATTCTTTCCACAAAAATTGTAATGCCAGTTCTTCACGTGTCTCTTTATTAATTGGCACAGGCAGATTATTGCCTGCTATTTAATCTGAAAATAAAAACATACAGTATCATGAAGAAACAAACTTAAGCTCATTTTACCAGTCCCAACTCCAAAACAAAATATACCCAAACTAGCAGACTGAGCATCATGTCAGGTTTGAAGATCGACACAGGGCAAGGCACTGAACTCCTTTTACTTCCCTTTCTTTAGGCATAGCCATACCTCTGAAGGAGAAACTACTGAGGTACAGACAAAATAGTAGTAACGATGATAAAGTTCACTGCTATACCAAGGTTCCTTGATAGTAGCACGACTACAAAACCAAAACTTTTGTCCTTTCTAATGCTAATTCCATAACCTCTACTTCCTACTTCAACACTTCCTTATTTTGCTTCTTTGTAGCCCTCATCCCTATATATTTCAGTTCAATATTTCCTCAAATCACCAATTGAATAAGTGGTACTAACTTTAAAACAGAACTGTAGCTTAAAAAGCAAAGTTTAAATAATTACTTAAAATATTTTCAAAGGAACCTGATTTTTGTTATCTCAGAATAATCCCAGAAATTGATGCTCTCTTGCTTTCTTACACCAGACTAAAAATTAATTTAACTACAAATTTTTGCATCACAGATGTTTTAAAATTAACATGTAAGAACATGCATTAAAAAGTTTAAAAAATACATGCAGTCTAAACGTTCACTACCCTTCTATAATCTAAAGTCAGTGACAAGAATTGCCATCAGAAAAGTTAAATTCTACTCAGTTTCAAAGAAAAGCTATTGCAGAGGATCAGTATATCACCAAACTACATTTAAATATACCAGAACCATTAAAAACAAAACACATGCTTTAATGCAATTATAGTTGATGCCATTTTACCTCCCTACTGCTTGGGCTATTTTCTATTGTTAACTTACAAATACCAGACTGCTGATAGGGCTTCTAAAGATGAAGTTCTGACAGCAGATTTTATAGGGTTTTTCATATGGTCTTCATTGTTTGTAGTTAATTTTGAACACAGTTGTCCTGTTGTGACAACTTCTCATAAGAAAAATTTATCTTGAGGTTTTTGTTGCAAGAACACTTTTTATCTCTTATCAAGTTAATTCTAACCCCAAGTTAATTCTAAATTACTTCTGTAACTTAAGCAATTTTGCTGTCATGAACTTAAAAAACTTCACTTTTTTGCACTTGTAAATATGATTATTCTTTTATTATGTTCTCTTTTTAAAAGATTTGTCGTACTCTAGAGAAGTATTTTATTTTATGAAGTGAGTAGGCATCATATCTAACGTTATAGTATTTTTCTCATTCTATAATATAAAATCCATGTGTTTTAACCATCAGCTCAGAAGATACTGAGTAGAACTATTATTTCTATTATTTCTCTGTTTTGTAAAAATAAAAGAAGAATTTTTTTTTTGTCTTACTTGGCAACTTGCTATAGAAACAGATTATTCTTCCACAGCTTTGAGATACATACGAAGGGTACACAGTATATCAAAATCAGGAAAAGCAGTTGTAATATATTATAGTCTAAGCAAAATAAGCAGCAGCAGCATATACTTTCAAAAAACATTAAGATGCTCACAGTACATCTGCACACTAAATATGCATGGGTGGAGGAAGCACAAAAGCATGCTTATACACAACTCCAAGGAATTTGGTCATATCCCAGAAAATTCCTCCTTTATTCTTCATCTCAAGGAGTTGATAGGCACTGGAAGAATATAGGAAGACCAAAAGATCAGTAACATTAGAAAAACATGAACCTACCAGAGTTCATTATGAACCAAAGTCTCAAAGAAAAAAATGAAAGCAGAAGTTGTGCAGACTATAAATAAACACTGCTTAAGAGAGGGTGAAGTTTAAATGAACTGCGCATCCCAGGCTGGCACAGCGTACTCCAAATGAAGTATATTTGCTGTCACTGCAAACATGAAGGATTCAGTGGGAAAGATACATAATAAGCAACTGAAATTCTCTGACATTTAATAAGACTCCTGAATTTCACTGATAATAAATAGGAAACAGCACCCAGGATAGTCCATTCACAATAAAAACCCAGGCTTGGGCACAGAGATGCATTAAGTGCAACAGCAGAGAGAGGGGCTGCTGATATACTGAGGACAAAAACCAAAAAGCAGATCTAAAGTCAAAGAGCTATGAGATGTCATGAACAACGGATAAAAGGCACTAATGGATTCTGAAGAAAACCCAAGAATACACATGACAAAAAGACCACGCAAACATCTCTGCCATGAGACACAGCAAGGCTGGAGTACACCACACAGCTGGACAGCAATAGGCTTCACTAAGGAGAGTTTCAAAGAAGAACAGATGGGCACTACTGAAGTGAAAAGCAAGAAATACGATTTTATATTACTTTTATTTATTTCTTTTACATCAAGAAAAGATGAAAAACAGTCTGCTACTTCAAAACACAAGTCTGAGTACATTACCATTGGGCATAGGGTTTTTACCTCTCAGGAACTGGTTCTTTATGGTGACAGCTTTGAGGGTAGGGGGAAGGGAGATGGTGAGCAACAGAATGAAAGACATAGAAATTCCCAGAGAAATTATTACGGTATCATGGCATTCAGTAATCATCTTTAGAAAATCTTGATATTTGAACTTAAAGATAAAACAAATTCTTTGCATTCCAAAGAACAGAAACAGTCAGCTTCATAATAGATGTCTGAGATCAAGAACAGTGTTGCAATTCAAAGGCAAATTTTTAAATTCATATGCTATAGTTTTAGGTCACAGCAACTTTAGCAATTTTCTCAAAGCAAGCAGAAGATGGATTCACTAACCTGATTTATGTGCAATTCCAATTTTCTAGCCCCCAAAACCAGACAAGATAGCCTTCTAACATTACAAGTTCTCAAAGACTGTCAAAAGCAAGAACTACCACGCAGTCTAATAGTATTGGCAGTGAATGACCAGAGGCACCATAAATCAGATATTACGATACCCATCATGTTATGGAGCAGTGGCTCCACAACAGGCCTGGAAGAAGCACAATGCCAGTGATAACAGGATTCTTGATCTGCCCACCCAGACATGCCCTTGCCAGCCAAGGAAGCCCTCCTCCCTAAGTCCAAAAAGCAGCTAAAGCAGGTGTCACATGCATTGGATGGTCTTAACAGGTTTAGTTTATTGT